GACAGGAGTGAAACCCAAGCGCAGAGCGCAGCTTTATTGTGGAAGTACAGACAAGGGTTAGGCGTGGTCGAGTCCAGTAGGCGGGCAGAGGGTCGAAAGCCAGGAGAGCGGGGATAAACAGAGGCACCGTCAGGGGGTCAGGCGTGGTCGTATCCGGAGTACAGGCGGGTGGTCGAAAGCCGGGATTACGTGGAGTTAGACAGAAGTACCGTTGAGGATCAGGCAGGCAGGAACGAGGTCTGGGACAAACGAGAGGTCAATAACAGGCAAGAACAGGAGATCGGGAAAACGCTCGGAATGTGATGGGACATGCACAAGACTTCGCAAGGAGCTTTGGGGAGTCACAGGCTTAAGTACAGGGCTGGCTCTGATTAGTGACGAGCCCCAGGTGAGTCGGTGGGCTGATCCCAGATGGCACAAACCATTATGGCTCAAAACAGAGGGGTGACTGAGGTCCCGATCTTCGCACCTCAATATTCCGGGGACGGGGAGCGTCTGCCTGTGACAGTCATGTTCCTAATCACAGGGCGGGTTGTTTTACGTTTCTCCAGCGGCTTGGCCTCTGGGGGAAGCAGTTTCTGTTGTTCTTTTACGTCTCACTTGGGTCGTCCATGTACGGGCTGCAGTTCTCACTTTTACATTTTTTTACGGTAGACATATTTCTTTTCATTATTCTGGTAGATGAACTCCAGCATTCTGATTGGTTGACAGCGAGTCACAGGGTGTACTGTATTAAGCCGTAATGTACTGTACCTGTTTACATTTACCTGAGCGTTCCATAGCAGTGAAAACTCTAACAGTTAGTTGATGGTTAGTTGTCATTTCAGTTTTCAGCTCGGTGGCAAACACCGAAAAAAAAGACCCGACGTGCCTCAAATGAGAGATGTAAGACGCCTTTTAGCTAAAGAGGACAATTCAGGTGGACGTCATGAGCGATGTGAATGAATGAGATGGTGCGACATCTTGCAAAGAGACCTGGGATGTTTTCAGACGACGCACAAGTGAATGTCCATCTCCCAACTAATCATAAAGCAACTCCTGGTGCTAACAAGCGTGATGTTGCTGTATCTCCGTTGTACAGCAGCAGCCAAACGTACAGGGACTATTTTCTTCAGGCTACTGAAATGAGGCCACAAGGCAGCTATTTACTTACTATTAATAATGTTGCTGATGACAGTATTATAAAAGCAGTAAGGTAGTCGAGGCTGTGCTTTATTGTCAATGTTACACTTTAAGGGTTTGTCCTGAACTGGAACTGCCTCGAGTACCTTATTGTGTGTAAAAACACATTGTTGAGATAAGGGATAAATCATGAGACTTATTTACAGGTTAGAATGTTTCTATTTCTTTCTATCTGAGAGCCTCATAGTGAATAAACTGACCTCACAGCATTATTGGTGACACACACACACACACACAGATGAATTCAGTACCTGTCAGTTTAGACACAATTTCTCATCGAATCGATATGAAAATGTGTCTCAACTTTTGACTGGTGCTCTATATGCAGCAGATAATAGAAAGACATTTGCTAATAAGTATTCAATAAGAGTACAAGTACTTCAAAAGTAACTGAGTAACTAACTGTGACCTGTAGTTAAGTAAAGATTCAAACATTGACCTCTGAGATGTAGTAAAGTACATTAAGATGTTTACGGAGCAGAAGCATGAAGCGTCATTAGATCAAAGTACTGAAGTAACAAACAGTACAATGTTCACTCTCATTCCATCAGAAGATCTAAACCGTCTGTTACGTCACATATGTAAAGTCTTTGGGGTTTCAGGACTTGTTGAATCGGAGGCTCGGGTCAACATTTATAGTCAATAACCTGAACAACAGACCATCGATGAATTACATTGTCCCCATTTTGTAAAGTCACTTTGTTGCCAGAATGAGAAAGAGACATTAGTCATTAAGTCATCAGTCACCTCATTGTGTGTAAACATTACACTACAGGTCATTTAGCAGACGCTTTTATCCAAAGCGACTTACATTACATTTTAAACACATGGCCTTTTTCACATTTTGCCCGGGGAGCAATTAGGGGTCAGGTGTCTTGCTCAGGGACACTTCGACTTGAGACATGGGGCAGCCTGGACTCGAACCACCACCTTGCGGTTCCCAGCGCACCCGCTCTTCCCCCTGACGACACCACGACACAAATGACTCAGACAGGAGTCTTAGTCAACAAAGCGAGCGATGTGAATTCTTTCAGTTAATCTCCCCGTTGCAGCTCCAAAAAGAGGCGTGTCTCTTCAAACAGGTCCGACTTAAAACTGACTCTAAACCACGCCCACCACCACACGGCTACTTAAAGCAGCGTCTCGTTAAAGCCTCAGGCTGTAACACGTCGTGTCCTCGCTGCGCACCTCGAGCTGTGAAGAGTCCAGACAGAAGAAGAAGAACCGCGTTCTGAGGACATGCGAGGTAATGAATGAATGAATTAATGTCTTGATGTTGGTGTTTGTATCATTTGGTCAAACGCATCCGTCCTCCTGCTGGAGTCAAATTAAAGATGAAATCCTACTTTAAGGGTTCTGAACAGAAGATGGTTCCGTGAGTTCCTGCCGCTGTCTTTAAGGAGTGTTTTAGTTCGTAGAGGGTTCATGAACTGGTCCACACTCCAGTACAGGACGTGCAGGCTGATGGTACCCAGACAAAACTAAACGAATCTTTATTAAATACTTGTCTTTAATAAAGGTGCATTTTTATTTGTACTCTTTATTCTGGTGTTTATAGATGCAATATGTGTGTTGGGATTACAAATGTAGCAGTTACGCATAATCAAATACTAAGAAGTGGCAGAATAAGCAGCTTTTACCGTCAATTCAGTGCGGATCTTCAACATGTTGCACAACTCTGCTGTGCACGTAAACCGGCCAGTAATCACGTGACGTGTCCAACATGGACCAATTCATATCCAGATGTTACTGGACAAATAATCTACTGATTAGTGAGTCGGCAACTATTTCAGGTTTAATATTAAACTGATAAGTTTAGTTGAGTGATGCCAACTGCAAGACATTTAACATCTAACTCCACTACTGGTGTTTATTGACGTCGAGGAAAACTGCTGTATTTGTGAGGGGTGCAGACAAGTGTGTGTGGGTTCAATTGCACGACTCGGAGACACAAGAAGGTGCAGTGAACCAATTTTACTGTTGGATGGCAGTACAAACACGGGTGTAAGAATCCGACAGGAGGCAGCCAGGTGCAAAGTTCGTAAACGTTCCGGTCCAAGGTCGGTACACGGGCAGGCAGTCGATCACCAGGCAAGGTATCCGGCAGGGAAAAGGCAGAGACGTAACTCGTTAACCAGGCAGGGGTCGGTAACAGGGAGGCTATCAGGAGTAAATGCTGGAACGCTAGGAACATTGTATCAAAGACGAACTGGCAACAGAGGACAGGAACCCACAGACTAAATACACCGGGTGATGAGGGCCAGGTGCAAACAATCAGGGAGGGGCTGACAATCACCCAGGTGGAACCCACACACCTGAGTGAGGAGTCTAAAACGAGAGGTGAGTAAACAATAACACATAACCGAAGAATTATAAATAGCCCGCCAACTTAACTTAATACTCAGGGCTGGACATAACGGTATTCAAACGTAAAACATATAATCCCAATCAAACATAAAGGTACAGCAGTTCTATATAAACACATGTGTAAGTCCTCTGATGAAAGTCTGTTACGGAGTCCAGATAATGTCACTTTGTTAAAGTAGACTGCGTGTCCGGTGTGTCGGTTGATATGTCCTTTGATGTTAAAAGTGCTTTTAAGATATTACAAGTCTTTTTTTTAAATCTATAACAACAAAGATTAATGTTCCCTGTTGTAGGAGCGAGAAGAGTCTGTGCTGGGGAGTTCTCTCCTTGATGATCGTGTGGCCTGCAAAGAAATACTTCTCTAAGTGAGGATATTAAAGGATATTTCAGTTGGAAACAAAGTCTAAAGAGATGTAAAGACATCGTTTCCTGATGTGATGATGATGATGATGTTTGAGCCTCTTCTCCTCTGTCTCCTCTCACAGGGAGGAGATGATCTGCAGCATCCTGGTGATCTTCATCCTGACCTCCTGTGTCTGTGGTCAGTTCACTTTTGTGTTTGTGAAGCAGCTGTGAAGCATCAGCACACACTCCTCAGAAACATCTGGAGATGGAGTCTAAAGGCTCCATGTTAAAGCTGTCACTTTGTCACCTCCTCCTCTCCTTCTCTGTCTCCTCAGCAGGGTCATTTGTAGTGAATGTGACACAGAGCTGGTATCATGCAGAGGAGAACCACAACATCTCACTGGAATGGATGTTCCCCACCAGCACGGACCCCTCCCCCAACGTCCTTCATGTCTCCTGTGAGACGTTAATTAATCAGATACACTCAGTCATGTTTTATCTGTATGAAGGTGTCGAGGTCCCAGAGTTTCAGGATGTACGCTTTGCAGGACGAGTCCAGTGGGACAAAGACGTCCTCAGAGAAGGACGACTCAGACTTCACATCTCCAGACTCCAGACTAATGACTCGGGGCTGTACTGGTGTGAAGTGGACACAAGTTATGGGAAGAACTTTAAGGAATGTCACCTCAATGTCACTGGTAGGTTCGTTAAGTTAAACTTACTAACACGTTTAATTCAGCAGCTTTATTCAGATAAATAAACCTTTTTCTTTACATGAATAAACAGATTTGTTGTGTCTCTTTGCAGCAGTGAAGGATCGACCCGAACCTGAGACATCGAGTGACACCAGTCTGAGAAGGATCGTTCTCTACTGTGCACTGGGACTCACAGCAGCTCTACTGGTTCTTTATTCATTTTATCGCTGCGTCACAAAAAAGATATTTTCGACGCACTCGTTTCACTTCATGGTTCTGCGCGTGTCGCAGAGCGATTCACCTCCAGAACAACAGGCGGAGTGACGTGTTTTGTTGAAGACGACCCAGAGAGTCGCGTCTATTTATTTATTTGTTTGTTTATGTATCATAGACTTTATTGCCTCGTGCATCCACACCGCTGCTTCTCATCGCGGACACATTTGTCCCGTTATTCCTCCACAACTTTGTTCCTCTCGACCAGCAAACCGGCTTTTGCGGCGATCTCCCTCCGTGAATCCAACCCGCTTCTAAACCCGCCAATGACGGTTTGTAGAAGCGCTCATATTTACGCATTTATTCCCACAAAAGCTCTTCAATCTGATCCGTTGTCTCGTAGACATTCCTCGTTTTAATAATGTCGGTATCGGGCTGTGAAAGTGGAAACGTGAGACTCCGTAAAGGACGCAGTTGGCGCAACAATCGCAGCCTCGTGCGCTGCGAATAATGTCCCGACACACGCAAAGACGCGAGGAGGTGTGAAAAGCGACGCAAGGGACACGCAAGGGGGTCTTGCGTCTGCGTCACTCTGAAAACGCAGAAGCATAAACTAGGCTTAAGAATTGTAGTTTATTAGTTATTATGTTAGATGAAGTGAACGCAATATGAATCAAACACAATGTAAAGTCATGTAAATCATATAAACACACATTAACATTCTGTCACAATGTGATGTTAAAACCTGGGGACTGAAGCTAATTTCCGTCCTTTATGGATTTCTCCCAATTTCATCCCCAAAGAGGGTTTTTTGGGAGTTTTTTCTCCTGTCAGGTAGTTAATGAACAACTGAATACAAGACAGCTGAGTGAGGCAAATGTCTGAGTGTTGGACCACACGAACTGTCTTAGATCTTATGATGAAGTTTGAATGCACTTATTGTACGTCGCTTTGGATAAAAGCGTCCGCTAAATGACATGTAATGTAATGTGATGAACGGTGATTATTAATGATGTGTTGTAATGAAGGTGTACTAGTTATAAGATGAAGACTTAAACTATGCAATTGTTATATTCACTCATTGAGGCATAAAACCAACTGTATCTACACTGAATGTGTTGGAATGTGAGGGACAGATGGACAGAGAAGGTTCAGGTTACAGCTGCAGCTTCACACCTCGACGTGAAGGGGACAGTCCAGTAGGGGACACTTTGAAGGAGAAGCCAATGACGTTCAAATGCACCCAAGAAGACACCTCAGTCTTCAAAGGACCAAAGCGGGGAAACGACTGTTACAATTCTCCTGCAGCCGCTTTGATAAGGCACTTTAGACTTGACTCAGAGAATTCTATATTTCGCGAAATATTCCACTGTTTTTCACTTTAACTGTATTCCTTATCACTTTGTTTAGTTATTAAATACTTTTTGATTTTTAAATTTGAGCAAGTTGACTCTTTTGATTCTTCGTTTCCGGCCGGGACGAGAACAAAGGAGTGAGGCCTCCTTCGAGGGCTTTCCCAACCCGCAACGCTATTAAATGCAGAACAATCGTGATTAATCAAGTTCAATTTATCCATCTCTCCTAGCACATATACATACCATATCATATTTGTACAAAATACATTATACTAATACATTTTTAATATATTGTGCCTGGAATAAAGTATTACCTGTTTAATCACTACGAAATCAGTCTCTTCATTTGTCGTATTAATTCAATAAGTCACATAGTGATCAAATCCATCCTCAATAATACAAACGTGTCACATGAAGGTAAATGTTAAGAGAAGCAGATTAAATACACACAGCATACAAGGTACACACACTTCTCAGCATTCTGTCTATGCAGTGAACACTCTTTTATTTCATAATGTGATCACTGAAGAGGTTGTTAATGCTGCTACATGTCGTGATTATTAGTGACCATTGAAAAGTCCTGAGGAGAGTTCTCTAAAGTGAGAGAAATAAGCTGTAGGCTGACTTCTGAGCGGACCGACGGCCTGCTGGCCGGGTCCTCTCGTCTCATCGTCTCTCGGGTGAAACCACAAGAACCACTCAGGTTCAAAACAAAAGTGTATCAAGCAGCGAAATCCAGATGAGGTGATTTATGAAATGCGAGTGTGTAAAGTGTGAAACATGTTGGACTGTTGTTCCAGACGCTCGTCCTCCTGTTCAGTAGTCGAGATCATCAGCGTTCACCCTGTTGCCTCGTCTAAGTCAGGAGGGCCGTACTTTAGGCCTCTGTGAGTACATGAATATGTGGTAGAACACCTGTGAACACGCGTGTGCGTGTACTCCAGTGCTGTGGAGTCAGTTTACGCTGTGAATAAACAATGAGGACATGTGAAGGACCGACGTTATGAGGCATGATGGGACATATCTAGCAGCTTGGGGACCAATGGGTGTCCATCAGGGAGAAGATGTTCAACTAGAAGACGATACCTGTCCCATCCACCAGGGGGCGTCACGTGATCAGGAATCAGGACATTTATTTACCAAAATATGCCAAACATACAAGGAATTTGTCTTGGCGGTTAGTGCGCGACAGTAGACAGACAAGACAACAGTGCACAGGTAATAAAATAAAGTGAAATGAAATGCTGATGCAACGGTTAGTAGAATAAGGCTATGGGTTAGTATAAAACAAGGGAATAAAGTTATACATTTTAAATATTAAAAAAGTTAAAAAAGAAATATTAAGCATAAAGTGCACTAACGAACAAGTAACAAAGTAACAAGTGACGACAAAGTGATGAATTACAGTTAAAGTGACGTGTGCAGTGTGAAGGGGAGTGACCGGTGGAGTGTTATAGTCAGGCAGTGGGGGACCGGCTCTGTTGATGAGCCCGACTGCCGACGGGAAGAAACTGTTGGTGTGGCGGGAGGTCTTAGTCCTGATGGACCTCAGCCTCCTGCCAGATGGAAGGGGCACAAACAGTTTTTGTCCGGGGTGAGAGGGGTCGGCTACCATCTTTTTAGCTCGCTTCAGAGACCTGGAAGCGAACAAGTCGTGCAGGGACGGCAGATTGCAGCTGATCACCCTCTCTGCAGAGCGGATGACGCGCTGCAGCCTGCCCTTGTCCTTGGCTGTGGCTGCAGCGTACCAGACGGTGATGGAGGAGCAGAGGATGGACTCCATGATGGCCGTGTAGAAGTGGACCATCATCGTCTTTGGCAGGTTGAGTTTCTTCAGCTGCCTCAGGAAGAACAACCTCTGCTGAGCCTTCTTGGTGATGGAGCTGATGTTCAGCTCCCACCTGAGGTCCTGGGTGATGATGGAGCCCAGGAAACGGAAGGAATCCACAATAGTGACGGGGGAGTCACACAGGGTGATGGGGGAGGGTGGGGCTCTGAAATCCACAACCATCTCCACTGTCTTCAGAGCGTTGAGCTCCAGGTTGTTCTGACTGCACCACGACACCAGATGGTCAGACTCCACCTGTAGGTGGACTCGTCCCCACCAGAGATTAGTCCAATGAGGGTGGTGTCATCCGCAAACTTCAGGAGCTTGACGGACTGATGACTGGAGGTGCAGCTGTTGGTGTACAGGGAGAAGAGCAGAGGGGAAAGAACGCAGCCTTGGGGGGAACCGGTGCTAATGGTCCGAGAGGCTGAGACATGTTTCCCCAGCTTCACGTGCTGCTTCCTGTCAGACAGGAAGTCAGTGATCCACTTGCAGGTGGAGTCGGGCACGTGCAGCTGGGAGCGTTTGTCCTGCAGCAGAGATGGGATGATGGTGTTGAAGGCAGAGCTGAAGTCCACAAACAGGATCCTGGCGTAGGTTCCTGGGGAATCCAGATGCTGGAGGATGTAGTGGAGGGCCATGTTGACAGCGTCGTCCACAGACCTGTTGGCTCTGTAGGCGAACTGCAGGGGGTCCAGGAGGGGGTCGGTGAGGGACTTCAGCTGGGTCAGGACTAGCCGCTCAAAAGACTAGTCTAGCTAGAGGTTCCAATACACACATTTTCACACACACACAAACACGTATATTTACGTATTCGTACCCAATAAATCAGTGGAATATTTCTTCCATTAACACAGAGTGAAAAACACACATAAGAAAGAATTAATTTTTTTGTGCATCATGGGATCGAACCTCACAGCGTTATTGTGACACCAGACAGACGTGCTGCAGTAGATCAGGCGTTTGTGTATGTGAAGCACTATTCAAAGTTTAGACACACGTCCTCATTGAATCAATGAGAAAATGTTTATGTTCCTCATTCTGGAGGTTCTGGAAGTTTGAGGAACCGAATGCAGCAGCTATGTGTTCATTTGACAGTTATAGATCAGCTGACAGTCACAGATCAGCTGACAGACATCCTGGAGAACTGGTTCCTTCACTATATAAACTACAACTGATTTCAGGAACGAGGATTAGGTTGAACTTCAGACCGAGTAGTTTACTTGTTGAAGAGCTTCTGTTCACAGGACTCAAGACATCCAAGATACGGTGAGAATGACTTAATATTATGACTATGATAAGATTCATTATGTGAGGATTCGTGGATTACACAAAATATTTAAGGGTAATGTTTGTTTTCTTCATTAAAGATAATTCGACTGTAAAAAGATTGATGATAGATCAGAATATAACCGGATCCTGATCAAGAAAAAACATCTTTATTAATGAGTAAAGAACATTTTCAACAGGATGAGGTTGTGTGTGTTCACTGTGTGGTATTTCTTAGAAATGTTGGTAAAGTAAGGACATTTCATTTGTGTAGCACTTTTCAACAACAAGGCAACTGAAAGTGCTTCACATAAAATCATTGAAAGCATCCGAATATAAAGCGAGTCGATATAAAACATGTTAAGGACAAAGTAAAAAAAAACACTACATGGAATCAAATTACAAAAGTACAAAAAATCCCTTTTATCTTTTATCTGGATTTAAGGGACTTTGTTCCTGATATTTGGATCAGATAAACTGAACATTACAGGTCATTTAACTGACGCTTTTATCCAAAGCGACTTACGTTGCATTTTTAACTCAAGGCTTTTTACATTTCTAGGGGGTTTGGTGTCTTGCTCAAGGACACTCCCGCATGGAGCAGCCGGGACTCAAACCACCAACCTCCTGCGCCACCGCCGACCCAAACGCTGCGTCACCGGGTTGGTTTCGACTGTGGGACCCGGAAAGAGACCAGTCTGCGGTGGGAGACTTGCTCTGGTCAGCTGGGCGTGTTCAGGTTGCTCTGAAGGACTTTCTTCCCTTTTTGTAGTTTCAGAGACAGTTTAAGGAGCCGCAGAGTGAACGTGTTCACATCTCTACCAGCAGGTGGCAGAATGCGTCTATTTAAAGCAGTGGTTCTCAGCTGGTCCGGCTCCGGGACCCCCCACCACCCCTTAATGACAAGCCGCGACCCGAATCGAGGACATTCTATGTCTTGAGGAGCAGCTTTTGCACAAATTAAAAATAAATTAAATAAAAAGTGCAATTCAAAAGGATTCAGATATACAAAATATCTTTGTGATGACCTCATCAGGAGGTAAATCCTGAAGAACATGGTGCTTTACAGACAATTAAGCAGCACTCACTTCAACCTGAGGGGGAAACTGACAGACGTCAGTCTGGAGGAATTTCTACTGGGAGAACTGGGGATGTTTTTTGCTCTTGGCAAGAGTCTCAAAGTCTGGAGTTACAGTGGACAAGGTCAGTCTGGGGTCAAGCTCGATGTCCAGTCTCTTCCTGTGTTTAGTCTGCAGCTGAACCAGAGCTGAGCCGCACTCACACAGACAGGTAGTGCTGAAGGGTAGCAGCGCTTTGACTGCTCGAGGGAAGGATACTCGCTGATCACCTCCGCGTGCGGTCACATGACCGCTCCATCAGCTGACTCTCCCGTTGCTCGGCAATGTGACACTTTCCATGTGGATTCCAAACGGGTGACGTATCCAGTCGTCGTCCCCGCTCCAGATGCGTCGTGATTGTTTTCTCCATTACATTCTTGTGTGCCGTGTGAGAACGGTTCGACCCAGCCGGGCCCACGCTGCTGAAAACATGGACGGACGAGCCGGCAAAAACCCGACGCTCCGCTGCATTAAAAAAGTCCCTTCAAAATAAAATCACGGGATTTTTTTCTTCTTTTTCCCCGGCAAAGGCCCGCGACCTATTAAAGACGCCAGACCCACCAGTTGAGAGTCACTGATTTAAACCATACATTTATTAAACAGCTTTTCTATATGGGTTTTTACAGATGTATTTAATGATTTTTATTTCCAAGAGAAAACCATTGTTAAACATTCTAATTTTAAGGTAGAGTCCAGTTACTCGACCAGTGAAGCCATCAGGAGCTGCAGAGTGGAACCAACAAGAAGTTTGACTCGTTAACATAATGTCACACTTTGTCACCAAAGAGCATCAGGATGTGAAGACACACTGTAGATTGTTGGTGTGATGATGATGTTTGAGCCTCTTCTCCTCTGTCTCCTCTCACAGGGAGGAGATGATCTGCAGCATCCTGGTGATCTTCATCCTGACCTCCTGTGTCTGTGGTCAGTTCACTTTTGTGTTTGTGAAGCAGCTGTGAAGCATCAGCACACACTCCTCAGGAACATCTGGAGATGGAGTCTAAAGGCTCCATGTTAAAGCTGTCACTTTGTCACCTCCTCCTCTCCTTCTCTGTCTCCTCAGCAGGGTCATTTGTAGTGAATGTGACACAGAGCTGGTATCATGCAGAGGAGAACCACAACATCTCACTGGAATGGATGTTCCCCACCAGCACGGACCCCTCCCCCAACGTCCTTCATGTCTCCTGTGAGATGGTAGCTGATGAGAGACCCTTTACCCTGTTTGAGCTGTATGAAGGTGTCGAGGTCCCAGAGATTCGGGATGTACGCTTTGCAGGACGAGTCCAGTGGGACAAAGACGTCCTCAGAGAAGGACGACTCAGACTTCACATCTCCAGACTCCAGACTAATGACTCGGGGCTGTACTGGTGTCAAGTGGACACAAGTTATGGGAAGAACTTTAAGGAATGTCACCTCAAGGTCACTGGTAGGTTCATCAAGTTAAACTTACTAACACGTTTAATTCAGCAGCTTTATTCAGATAAATAAACCTTTTTCTTTACATTAACAAACAGATTTGTTGTGTCTCTTTGCAGCAGTGAAGGATCGACCCGAACCTGAGACAACGAGTGACACCAGACTGAGAAGGATCGGCCTCTACTGTGGACTGGGACTGACAGCAGCTCTACTGGTTCCTTTATTTCATCGCTGCAATGCAAAAAAGACCAGTGATCAGCAGAAGAAACGATACATCAGAAACACAATTCAAGTGATTGATCCTTTAAGGTTTTGCACAGAAACAGTCTGAGTTGTTCTGACTGAAGTCCAGCTGAGACACATCTGGATCTTTGGATGTCTCCTGTGTGTCTCATGGACCAACAGCAGCATGAAGGTATCAGTGAGTCTACAGAGACACGTGTGACTCAGGGAGCTCCAGGTACGGCCCCCGGGCAAGTCGTCCTCCGTCTTTTGTTCATTATTGTCCGTGGTCACTTCTGTCTCCATTTGGCTTCGTTCTCAAACTCTCAGGCCACTCTTTACACTGCTGTGTATTGTACCTCCTTTTTTGTCCTTTGCTTACATTACGTCTTAGAATAAGACGGGCGCCATCTGACAGCCAATAAGGATTTGCATTTAAAAAAAAAAATTTGACTGTTTAAATATTATTTTAAATTGTGGGCAAACTCAAGAGCGACTTTTGATTTTAAAAGTAGCGAAGTAGATTACAAGGTGTAAATGGTACTCAAGTATGAGTAAAATTACCCACTTGAAGAAAATACTCATAAAAGTACAAGTGCCCAATAAATCTACTCAATTACAGCGAGGTGAGTATTTGTAGTTCGTTACTTCCACCCCTGCTTCTAACTTCTGTAAACCAACCAGGTTCTCTGCATCTGCACCACTGCAGTAGTTCCCACACCTTTTCTGTCGGGGAAACCGTCTGTTTGAGGAAACAGCGGTTTGGCAGTAAACTGATTACTATCAACAGCTTCTCCATTTACACTATATGAGTCACGCCCCAATAGGGCGATGAGCCAATACGCTTGAGCCCCAACGACGTGAAGCTTTATGATTGGTCGGTAGAACAGTAGAGTGGGAGTTTTGAGAGTCAGTCTATTTTTAATTTCTGTAAGCGTGTACTCGTATTCAGATGAATGGTGTTTCAGCTCCTTCACACGTGTGAACGCACCTTCACAGAGAAAGAGAAAGAACCAGCACGTGGTCTGACACCGGTATTTTAGTCTTAACTTTGTAAATGAGTTCTGATGAACTTCAGACTGAGGAGTTTACTTGTTGAAGAGCTTCACAGGACTCAAGACATCCAAGGTAAGGAGAGAAGGACTTCATCGATAACACAAGATATTTACGGTTAATAATATTTGTTTAGTTTATTAAATATAATTAACCTGTAAAAAGATGAAATGCATTGATCAGATCAGAATTTAACCTGATCCATCAAGATAAAAAACAGCTAACTCACTACTGCTCTGCACTTTAGCTTGTTAGGACTTCACTTACTGTTACTGGACTGTTTTATATTTATATTGCACACATTTCATTTAATCTAAGTTTTTTTTACAACCTGCTCAGTTTTGCGCTTTTACCTCATTTCTGCCTTATTTTTATTTTTATTTCATGTACATTTATGTAAATATTGGATTTTTATTTTAATTTTAAAATTGGTCGGCTTTCCAGAAAAGGCAAGCACAATAATTTCAATACACAGCTCGTGTGTAACTGACAATAAAACATCTTTGAATCTCTGAGTAAAGAATCCTAATCAGCCTCATGAGGTTGTGCGTGTTCCCTGTGTGGTGTTTGTTACACATTTCGGTACGTAGATGTTCACTCTGAGGTCTGTGGAGCCAAATGCAGAACACAAGCTTTGAAACTCGAGAGATTCATGTGGTCGTTGAACGATACAATCTGAGATAGTTTAGTGATTTTATTCTATGATTCTGACGAGTAGAGTCCAGAACAGCCAAACAGAACTTGGTTCCTGGCGTCAATGGTTTCACATCATCCTGAATACAGTGTGTAGAAAGTGTTGATCCATAAGTCTCTTTGTTCCTACGTCTCCTGAAGGCAACGCGTTGACGGTTAAACTCCACCAGATCAGGAAGTCTGAATCTGCAAAAGGAAGATCAGGGAAACAAAGACGTTAAATTGAAAAAAAAATCTGAAACTATACAATTTAAATCTGAAGATATAAAATCTGTAATATAATACTGAGAATATTCAAAAAAATATATAAATAAGTGGAGAATGAAAAAAAATATTTTATAAAAAAAAAAAAGAGGAACTGAGTCTAAACCGTTCAACCCAACTTTTCGTCCACATATTTTTATTTGATAATTGTATTTTTGAATGTTCAAGATCAAGTCTTTCAGGTTCCCATTTCTTTTTCAAATGATCAAAACCTTGATATCAAGCCCTTGTTTTCCCTCTCGGCCAACGGCTCGTTACTCAACAAGCACGCGTGACCGTTGGAGGATTTTGGTGAAACATGAGGAGACCTGCTCAGTGCAGGTGAAGCAAAACCCAGAGGACACAAGAGACGACAACTCTTCAACCAAGAAATGAAGAGGAGAAAAAGGGAAAGAAAAGACAAGTCAAGACAAAGTCCAGTTGAGAACGGCTGGTTTATGATCCAGCCAAGAAAATAGTGTAATGCACTGATTGTAGGACGTGAAAAGGTTGAGGGGGTCTCTTGTTGGGACAAGAAACTTCACAGTGCAAACAATAAAGGACCATGAAGTTTCCATCGGCCATGTGAAAAGCATTAACGATTAAACAAAAGTACCTCTGAACCAGGTATATGCAAAAAGCTACTCGTTTTGTCTTTGTCTTAATCAGTTGCAGATGTTACACACTTTATAAAGCTCCTTATGTATAAGTACAGGTGACCGTACACGAACATCTTGTATTTGGCTATGAGTGAAACATCTCCAGGAAAACCAGCTTCACTTTGTGGTTGTAGTTCTCCTGGAGGTTGTCACCAGCATGAAAGCTTTGTGTGTTTGTAACAAGCATGATGAAGAACACAAAGAGCATCAGGATGTGAAGACACACTGTAGATTGTTGGTGTGATGATGATGTTTGAGCCTCTTCTCCTCTGTCTCTTCTCACAGGGAGGAGATGATCTGCAGCATCCTGGTGATCTTCATCCTGACCTCCTGTGTCTGTGGTCAGTTCACTTTTGTGTTTGTGAAGCAGCTGTGAAGCATCAGCACACACTCCTCAGAAACATCTGGAGATGGAGTCTAAAGGCTCCATGTTAAAGCTGTCACTTTGTCACCTCCTCCTCTCCTTCTCTGTCTCCTCAGCAGGGTCATTTGTAGTGAATGTGACACAGAGCTGGTATCATGCAGAGGAGAACCACAACATCTCACTGGAATGGATGTTCCCCACCAGCACGGACCCCTCCCCCAACGCCCTTCATGTCTCCTGTGAGATGTTAGCTGATAAGACACCCTTTACCCTGTTTGAGCTGTATGAAGGTGTCGAGGTCCCAGAGATTCGGGATGTACGCTTTGCAGGACGAGTCCAGTGGGACAAAGACGTCCTCAGAGAAGGACGACTCAGACTTCACATCTCCAGACTCCAGACTAATGACTCGGGGCTGTACTGGTGTGAAGTGCTCACAAGTTATGGGATGAACTATAAGGAATGTCACCTCAATGTCACTGGTAGGTTCATTAAGTTAAACTTACTAACACGTTTAATTCAGCAGCTTTATTCAGATAAATAAACCTTTTTCTTTACATGAATAAACAGATTTGTTGTGTCTCTTTGCAGCAGTGAAGGATCGACCCGAACCTGAGACAACGAGTGACACCAGTCTGAGAGGAGATCCTCGGGGAAGGATCGGCCTCTACTGTGTACTGGGACTGACAGCAGCTCTACTGGTCATTTATTCATTCTGTCTCTACATTACCAAAAGGATTAGAGATCAGTACAACAAACAATACATCAAAACCACAATTCAAGTTATTGATCCTTTAAGGTTTTGCACAGAAACAGTCTGAGTTGTTCTGACTGAAGTCCAGCTGAGACACATCTGGATCTTTGGATGTCTCCCGTGTGTCTCATGGACCAACAGCAGCATGAAGGTATCAGTGAGTCTACAGAGACACGTGTGACTCAGGGAGCCCAGCTGGTGAACGCTGAGCCCTCGTTGTGTGTGTGAAGGTCAGTTAGTTTAGTTTCATCAGGACCAAACTGATTCACCTTCTGACATCACAGCATGAATGTAAGTCAATGGTGACATGAAGCGTCAGGGAGACTGTGGGTGTAGAGTCCAATCAGAGGATCAACGGTTCCATCCCTGCTGACCCGCGTGTTGATGAGCCCTTGAGCAAGACACTTAACCCAGCATTGCTCCTGTAGCTGTGACCACAGAGTGAGAATGGAGTGAATATTAGTTACTGACGGCAGGAAGCTGCTCATCAGTGTGTGAGATGATCAACGAGGACGTGAATGTAAAACACACCTCTACCTCGTACACCTGGACCAGGAAGCACTTTATTCATGATGGAACTTAGCACTTGTAGATTAGATTGCTTGAAGAATTTGTACTTTCCTGATTCTTGTTCTATTTCTGTTCCCTCTTGATTGAATTAACTTATTGTCACTTTGGATAAAACCTTAAGCTAGATGGTAAATGTAAATAAAAAGCACTTTGAGGGGTCGGGAGTGTAGAAAAGCGATTTACAAGTCATTTTACATTTACCATTTATTGTGTTCAAGTTCAGTTACCGAACTTACTTACTTACTTAACGCTACTTTTATTTTTTATATATAATTTATATGTTTTTATATCAATTGTACTTTTACGTGTAATAAAAAATTAACACAATGAATATCATTAACCGCTTACCAAAATCTAGCATTATATTTTTAATTACTCATGGAATGTTGGTTATTAAGAAATATGTATGTATATGTGTGTGTATGTTTAAAATGAAAAAAGCATCTTAAAAACCCAAATCAGTCTCTTCATTTGTCGTATTAATTCAATACGTCACATAGTGATCAAATCCATCCTCAATAATACAAACGTGTCACATGAAGGTAAATGCTAAGAGAGAAGCAGATTAAATACACACAGCATACAAGGTACACACACTTCTCAGCATTCTGTCTATACAGTGAACACACTTTTATTTCATAATTTGATCACTGAAGAGGTTGTTAATGCTGCTACATGATCTTCTCAGGATGAAGTTGTGTCATTGTGTAACTTCTCAACCAGCATCACTGAAAGTGTATTTTTTTTATCTGACTGAGATTCAAAGGAAATCCACAGTCTTTACAGACTGAAGTGTTTTTTTGTTCTAGACCTTCAGCTCCTCTGACAGAGACTCTGACTACTGAACATATTCTGCATTAAGCATCATGCTGCTCGTCATCAAAGACTAATGTTTATTCTGGTTCCTGATCAGAAAGAAAGGAAACAGATTAATATTCTGTACGTTAACTTGATTTTGCTCAGAGTGTCTGTTACATTTCTGGTGACGTCACTGTACGTGTGGTCATTGCGCCTCGCTCCGCAGAATGAGGAACGTCACCACGTTGTGGTCGTAAATCATTTCACTGTCGTAAAGCCTGTATGAAGAGAAATAGATCCTCACGCTGCCCCCTGCTGGCTAAAGGCTGGAGTGCACATTCTCTATAAACCCATTACACGTCTTTACACAAGTTATTATATTTCTATAAAATACACTGTTCACTTGAAACTATATTTTTTGTCAATGACAACAAAACACATGAAAAAAATATGTGTGGCCGTCACAAATAAAACAAAAACTCTGCACAATTAATACAATTAAATGCTGTTAATCACAGAACAGTCATGCGATTAATCAGGTTCAATTCTTTCATCTTCACTAATAATTACCACATCATACTTGTACAAAAAATACACTGTTACGTGATTTTTTTGTAATACTTTGTGCATGGAATAAAGCATTACCTTTTTAATCACTACGAAATCAGCGTCTTCATTTGTCGTATTAATTCAATGATTCACATATCGATTAAAACCATCAACAATAATATAAAGAAAGCTTTTTTCACCAGGGAAATGATTAAGGAATGGCAGGATGGACAGGAACACAACTGTCTCGTTCATAGATCAGCTCTTATGGGTCAAACTGAGAGGACAAACACGGCGTCATGTTTCAAAATCAATCTTGGCAAAAAGTACTTAAGCTTCCTGCAAAACTGCAGGACAGAACTGGTTGAGATGTGTGGTGCAGTAAACATTTAAACATTTACCTCTGAGATGCAGTAAAGTAAAGAGAACTGTCAGCGTCCAGGCAAAGACCAGTGTACCTGTGTGAAGGACCTCTGACTACGAGAAGGCTGAATATGAAGTATTTTTACTGTACAGATTTCTTCAAAGTAAAAGCCTTATTTGTATTAAAAACAATATTTTTCCAATAAAAAACATTCTTTCCAATAATTCCACACAAAGACCAGTGTACTTGTGTGAAGGACCTGTCAGACTACTCTCCTTATGGGGCTTTTACTTTGGAGAAATCTCCATTTGTACTGTACAAATATTTCATTGTCCACGATTGGTCAGAGGTCCTGTACACACATACTTCTACCAATGTCAGGAATATGCTGTTTAAACAGCCTCCATTCCTGTTCACGTGGTTAATACTGTAAATGTCAGCACATACGTGCACTAACATTCAAGCGTCTGCTGAGTTGACCGCAGTGTTACTTTCTAGTGTTGTCTCACATTCAAATTTCTCACCTGATCACCTGCGTGTCCACAGCGTGTCCCTGTCTGGCCACTGCTTTCAGCACGCGTGTCTCTCCTGGTCTCAGAAGAACAGAGACCGACCTTCGTGATCTACCATTTAATATTCTGCTTTTACGAGAAATTATTTTCCTTAAGTTACGTAAAGAAATTAAAGAGTCTCTTGCATCATCTTTAAAACTCCTTTAATCCACCACATGAGGGATGAGGTGTGCGTGTCCTCCAGTTTACGCTGTGAATAAACAATGAGGACATGTGAAGGACAGACGTTATGAGGCATGATGGGACATATCTAGCAGCTTGGGGACCAATGGGTGTCCATGCATAGCTGCATCCAACACACGTGAAAATGAGCTGTGTGTTCAGTGAGGTGTGATTAATTGAAGGCGCTCACAGCTGATTGCACCTGCAAACAGATCACGCTGAGGACCGTTCCAAGATGGCGGCTGCAATTCTCGTCAGTGCCACTAGGCGGCAGCGGCCAATGCGGCGTCTATGTAGATTATGTCTATGACGATGCCTGTTACAAGCGCGCAAACCAATGAATAGGGAGTCACAGCCGGTCTGCTGCACTTCTGTACCGGTGTATTCTCAGTGTGGCAGCACGAGATTACATCATAGCTTCAACTACAGTGCCACCTTGTGGCAGAACAGGGAGCAGCAACGCCACCCTGGGAAGTTTCACCCAGAGAATACTAACTAATAAGGTCACGCAGGTAAGTATCACAAAAGATGCCAAAGACGTGGTTCAATGTACATTGTTTATTACAATAAAATAACAGGATCCATAAAACAATTTAAAACACGCTCACAATCTCCACAACAAAAGGGGAATTAATGGGGGTAATAATGGTCAAAATAATGAACAAAATAATGAACGCGGAGGCTTACCGGTGGTTGTGGAGGGACACGAGGGCAGCGGGGGAGGTTTCAAGAGAAGACACTCGGGAACACAAAAACAAAATAGTGAGCACAGCAAAGCAAATGACGACAGCAAACGAGCTGTTTGCTGTCGTCAGGGACACCACCACCGGGACACCACCACCGGGACACCACCACCGGGACACCACACCACCACCAACACAATGTTAAAAACACGCGTACATACAACCGGGGTCACTCACCCGGTTATAAAGAAACACAAATACAGAACAAACTAAACAATAAAGAAAACAAGATGATGACTCCGTCGACCCAATAAGTCAAGGGGAAGGAGAAGATCGAACGTCACGCTAAAATTGTTCATCCGGGTAAAGCCGTCCGAGCACAACGGTGCAGGCGGTCCGGCCCAAAACAATTGAGGCAACGCAGTCCAAAAAACACATGTACGCAAACCGAGGGAGGCAGAAGGCGTGAAGGCAAAACAGCAGCTAGTTGGACTGATAACGGGGGCCGAGATCCTCCGGTACGACCGCCCAGTCCCACTCGAACCGGTTACTGACGTCGCCGTGAAGGAGACCGCTCGGGCGATCACGCCGCTCTGTGTTAGGGAGCTACGCGGCTCCGACAGCCGGGGATCTGTGGGGATCACATACGAGATATAAAAGGCAGCTGACGGCAGTAGCGAGATAAAGTGCGCGGAGACAGCCAGATCACCACCTTACCTGTAGCAGCGCCGAACAACCACGAAGGGTGAATGACGCGGAAGACTGACACGGTTCCGTCACCGGGCCAAGAGGGCGACAGGGGGGAGGAGCCTACCGTTGTTTGTTTATACCGGTCCCTGCGCTCTGATTGGTCCCGCGGGCACACGGTGATTTCTGAGTCTGCGCTAGGAATGTGTGAAATGAAAATCTCACGCAGACTCTTTTCAGTCACGGTGCACTTCAGGTCCGTTTAGACACGTGAACGCACCTTTACAGAGAGAAGAACGAACCGACGCCTCGTTTGGGAGTTTTATTTTATTCTTAACTTTGTAAATGAGTTCTGATGAACTTCACTGACTGAGGAGTTTACTTGTTGAAGAGCTTCAGTTCACATCAATCCAGACCTCCAAGGTAAAGAGAGAATGACTTAATGTTGTTATGATCATGTTAACATTTATTACGTGACGATTCCACAAGATATTTAAGGGTAATAAAGTTGTTTTGTTCATTTCAGAGAATTAAAGTGTGAAATGATCAAATTGATTGAAGACCGATCAGAATATAACTGATCCATCACGAATCAGCTGTATTATTTAGTAAAGAATTATTGTCAACAACAGCTTGAGGTTGTGTGTTATTTGTTATAAACGTTGGTACGTAGATGTTCACACTGCTTCATTGATGACAATAAGAAGCTGATGTGTTGGAGGAAACATGAGGTTTGTTAGAAGAAGTTGAGGTTCTGTTGGAAACTCAACCGAGCAGGGCGGGGCATCCGTGTTGTCCGCTTTACTCGCGCGAGAACTCGCCCTCTATTCGCGCGAGTTTAGTTTCAGCGGCGACTCCGGGAAGCGCGTCTGGATGTCTGCGGCTTGGCTCGATAGACCGCAACGGGCGAATATTTATAATATTTGAAAGAGCGATTTATTCACTTCGCTTCGATTTATTCACTTCGCTCGTTTAAAATTCGCCTCATTCGCGACGCGTCTGTGCATTGACTTTACATGGAATCTACTCGCGCGAAAAATTCGCTTCGCTTCTGGTGTGAACGCACCATTAAAGAAAGTCTGTTAACTTTAACTGCAGTTTATACTTATTTGATGTGACTATGAGTGAAACATCTCCAGGAAAACTAGCTTCACTTTGTGGTTGTAGTTCTCCTGGAGGTTGTCATCAGCATGAAAGCTTTGTGTGTTTGTAACAAGCATGATGAAGAACACAAAGAGCATCAGGATGTGAAGACACACTGTAGATTGTTGGTGTGATGATGATGTTTGAGCCTCTTCTCCTCTGTCTCCTCTCACAGGGAGGAGATGGTCTGCAGCATCCTGGTGATCTTCATCCTGACCTCCTGTGTCTGTGGTCGGTTCACTTTTGTGTTTGTGAAGCAGCTGTGAAGCATCAGCACACACTCCTCAGAAACATCTGGAGATGGAGTCTAAAGGCTCCATGTTAAAGCTGTCACTTTGTCACCTCCTCCTCTCCTTCTCAGTCTCCTCAGCAGGGTCATTTGTAGTGAATGTGACACAGAGCTGGTATCATGCAGAGGAGAACCACAACATCTCACTGGAATGGATGTTCCCCACCAGCACGGACCCCTCCCCCAACGCCCTTTATGTCTACTGTGAGATGTTAGCTGATAGGACACCCTTTACCCTGTTTGAGCTGTATGAAGGTGTCGAGGTCCCAGAGCTGCAGGATAAACGCTTTGCAGGACGAGTCCAGTGGGACAAAGACGTCCTCAGAGAAGGACGACTCAGACTTCACATCTCCAGACTCCAGACTAATGACTCGCGAACGGTACAGGTGTGAAGTGTCCTCAGGTAATGAGAGGACTCTACGAAAT